GTGCTTTATAAATAAAGATTGATTGATTGAGTTAGACGATGAGCAGGCAAATAACGACAGAGTGCAAACTCAGATATGGCATTCTGAACAACCCAAACACAATTATCCAGAAAGGTAAAACTGCCTCTGTTAAGGGTACTTGAATCTGAATAGACCTTAACTTTGTACCAATAAAAGAAATAAGCCCTCCATTTCTTATGCTCATTTTCCACTGGTTTAAAACGCCTCGCCCTCCCCTCCAAGAAAACCAACAAAGGAGCAATGAACCAATGCTCCAGAGTTCTCTGCCCCTCTGAAAATCCTCTAAAGTGAAATTGGGATTGAGAGAGTATTACTGCCTGTGCTCACAGGCATTAATCAGCCTGTTAATGTTCGACACTGCATGCATCCCAAAAACAGCACTTTATCCAAGCAGACCTGCATGACCCATGGACTACAAACACTAAACTGTGTCACGTTTGGGTCCTGTGCCACTTTCTAGCCATTTCTCATAATAAAGCCACCAGTGTCACATCTGCTGAGTGCTGCTTGAGGTCCATTTGTTTCCCTTATGAGATGCAGAGGAGGAAAAAAAAAAGTCAAACCAAACAAGCAAAAAAACCAAAAACCCCAAAAAACTCTGCTTCCACAGGGGCTGTCCAATAGCCCAGCGACCTGACAAGGTCGTCATCTGTTTATTTCATGGCTCCAACATTTTTGTCCATTACTAAATACAGTGCTTGCCAATAAACACGCTAACAGTCTGCAGCGTTTGCGCTGCTGAGTTTTATCCTCGTTTTCTAATTCTCAACATAGACATTGATGTCTACTAATTCATTTCCAGTCCTTTCAGTCGCTGCTGAGTCATCCACATAAAAAAAACAAAACACCGATACTGCCAACGTCACGGTGACGCTTGAGGAAAATTCATGGGATAGCTAAAATTGCGAGGATATATTGCCTGGGAGTCGAACGTCTTTAACATCAAATTCACCAAATAGTTGATGCAACCCGCCTAAAGCCTTACCCTCTACATGATTTTTAAAAATGCTCAAATAAAGTTGGCTGTAAAAAAATAAAAAAATAAAAAAAAAATAAAAAAAATGCATGGGTAGTTGTAGATTTCCATAGGTCTAAGCTCCGTCTTTGGCCTATCAACATCCGTGGAGAGGACACAGAGGTGGTGCAGAGTTATAAATATCCCGGTGTCCCCCTTGATAATATAACAGATTGGTTGCAGATGTCCTGTACAGGAAGGGGCAGTGCAGACTTACTAAATGTAGACAGTGACATGCTGTTTTAATTCTATCAGATTTTTGCTACCAGTGTCCTCTTTGTTACTGCTGTGTGTTAGCGATGACGCATGATGCCTGGATAAGTCTTGATAATGGGCAGGACTGTGGCATCACTGGGAATTGCGGTGGAAAGGTGTACAGAAACAAAAGTACAGACCATCTTTGATAATAACAGTCATCCTCTCCACAATATTTTGGTGGCTCGGTGTCGTCTTCTTGCACTGTGCTGCAGCACAGAACATTGTAGAAGACACTTTGATCCCACTGCAGTGAGATTTTAGAAATTTGTTAACACAAAAGACTGATGACCTGGTTCATCACTCTACCTTCCAATACTGTTACAACCATTGGCTTTTTTCTGCTGTTTTTAGGCATTTATTTGTTTTATTTGGAATATTGTGCAAAAGTCTTAAACCACCCCTAATTTCTTACCCTTTTGCTTCAATGAGTGAGTGTCTCATCATTTTTTAAAGTGGTCTTTAGCAACAGATCTCCAGATTCTCTTTCAGTTTTTCACTGGAAATTGGCTGCTTTTCCACTTATTTTTAGTCCAGTCCTTGAACCCAGCCATTTTTAATGGGATATTCTTTTGTTTGTTAAGTCACTTCACACTGACTTAAGAATAATCTTCACTTGCCTCAGTATTACTGAAGCAGTGTAAGATTATGTTGGCAGAGAACAGAACAAAAGTCAGCCAACATCCAAAGAAGAGCTTTGAATATCCTTCCAAAAAAAAAAAAAAACCTGGAGAAGTATTCCTGAAAACTACTTAAAGAAATGACAAAAAAAGCCGACTAAGATTTCAGATGAGTTGAAGAATAAAGGTGATCATACCAAATTGCTGAACCTATTTCACCAATTTCCTAGCAAAATATAAAGAAATAAGTACCATAGCTGGAGATTTTTGCAGTTTGACACCAAAATTTCCCAGAGGAGATGAATAAATTATTACTTCTTATTAATATTATTATTATATAAACACAGTTGAAAGCCTTTTTGGAAATGTTTGGCTTTATTTTTCTTTTCTTTACTGCAAGGATTGAACCTGTACATATGGCTGGACACAGAGAAGTGGAAAAAAAAGAAATCAAAGGCAACAATGACTTCTTGGCATAACTGTGAAAAAAGTCCAACATAACACGGATACCTTTGGGATAAGGAATAAAGTCTTTCTATTATTCAACTAACGCATGATGTCAGTGTGGAAACTGCCAAACACAAACAAATGTTCAGAGTAATCAAAGGTAATGACTTCTCATCGAGAGAAGAATGAACACGTAATTACGACGATATGTCACGTAACTGTTTAAAGCACTTTTTTCAAAATGCTCTTGCGTATGGTGAAATGATAGTAATCACATTGAACACTGTGTGCCGGGCGACAGTCTGAACACTTGAAACCGTTTTATACGCAAAGAATCCCCAAAAAAGAAAAAAAAATGGTTCACTGACAAACATCTTATTCAGCACAAGCTGTTGTGACAGAAGACAGGAAGAAGGACAATTCAGGTGTGTTGTGTTTTATCCTTGATGACTTAAGGATCGAAAATTATTCAGCTGGAATGATAAATTACAAAGCAAACTAGTTCCCTTTGACTGTGTTTTGCTATCCCTGAGAACCTTATTCATAATGAAAGAAACCAAAGTCTTGAATAATAAAACACAAGTTCAGCTACAGATAAGACTTTAAATATTTATAGAGGCCGAAGCAAGGGAGCTAAAAAAAAAAAAAAAAAAAAAAAAAAAAAAAAAGGAAATACAAAATTATGGAAGAAAGAAAAAAAAAAACGTATCACAGAAGGTAATGACTCTGGCCCCCGAATAGATGGTGTTATGCTGCGAGAACTGGAAGAGGCTCTGGAGACTTTACTTAACAGTTAATTATTCCTTGGGCGTCTCGTGAAGTCATCCGTTTTAAATATGAAGGAAAGCATGGGAGAGCACTATCCAAGCTGACTGAAGCCGAACCATTCCAGGCCGAGGCGCTTCAAGTAGACGCGTACTCAGAAGAAGGGAAACGGGAAAGATTTCGGAAAGCCGTCTTTTGCGCTCGACTCCTCTGTGAGTTTCAGTTAAACAGGAAGTAGCAGAAACACCAGTGATGAAAGAGATTGGTTACAGACAAAAACACGCAAAAAAACTGAATGCCCAAAGTGTAAATCAGAGGTCTGAGATATTCCAGTAGAGTGTGAATACAGAGGGGATTTGTGGGATATTGAGCGGAATCTGTGATTACTTCAGTGGACGGAGGTAAGACTCATGTTTTGGATGTTTGTTGATCACATAGACTATTCAGACACCAGATGTGAGCATCTCCCATGCTTGTGTCAATGAACTCTCCCATTATTAACAATTAATGAAGGAGCAAGAGGTAAAGTCACTCCAGCTGTGAATGATAAGATTAATAATAAGATTTGGAAAAGTATGAACTGTGAAACTCTGAAGGGCAGCTTGCAGTAATATTTGGCATTTCATGTTCTGTTGTGTTCCCTTTCCCCCACCCTCATTCTCCTTTACTTGGTCATTTCATGAGAGAGTTACAAGGGCACCAGGCCTCTGAATCTCTTCCACTTATTATATTTCTGCAATTCCAGACATTTTATATTTTTATATCTGTAAGGCCACAGTTTGGGGGCAAACAAAAACTCCTTTCTAAAAGCAAAAATCAATCATGATAGTCCACATCCACACAGAATACTGATCCTTTAGCTGTGATTTCACCAATTTAACAAACCTACACTACTCACTGGAGCACCTCACATTTTACTGTACAAGCTTTAGGTTCTTTTCTTTTTTTTTTTTAGTGGTGGTGTTAAAATGCCGTTACTTTCCAAATGATGTGAAAAAATAATCAATATTTCAAATTGTTCTGCAGACGTGAAGGTTCTGTACAACAACAAGAACAAGAAGAACAAACAAACAAACAAAAAAAAAAAAGTTAAAAAACCCCCAAATCACTGAAACCAAAAGGTGTATGTCAATAATCAGCATTTGTCTCTTTTAGAGACAGAACAGGGTTGATGGGGCTGGATTAGGACCCATTGGGACAGTGCAACCTCCACCGTTAGATACTGATGCCCACCACCGGTCCACCACCATGGTGGTCTGACAGTCACACAAACCCCTGCAGAGCTAAGCATGGGGCAGTATTGCATAGATACAGTATAGGGTGTAGCTTTTCACATATTCAGTCACAGTGGTTGGGCAAAAACAAGAAAACCTTTTCTTTTTTTCCTCGTCTGTGTATTTTCTTCCCATCAGAACATCCGTGAAAAACACGAGTCTCAAGTGGTTGGTCTGACAGCAAGTACTCTGGTATTATTACAAACGGAGTCACCACGGTATAAAAAAAAATAGCCTTTCGCTGAGGTTGTCGAGTCTCCCCCGTCAGTGCTGAAAGGGCCCTTTGCCAGGCTCAAGGGTCACAGTGCATTGCCCCCCCACCCCACGCCGCCCCCCCACTCCCCGCATGCTTCTCTCAGAGCTCCTCCTTCCGCTTGACAACCTTCTCCTGGTCGCGTCCTCTTAAGCTGCGCATGAAACCCGTGAAGCCTGCCTCCTGTGAAGACAAGGAAAGTAACAATCACCACAGCATATTTCTCAACTTGAAGCAAGTTCTCAGCCAGTCCTGTGGATAAACCTCATCTTCACCTGATGGTGAGGGGAAGGACAAAATGTAAATACCGCCACTGTGCTTGAGGTCAGGCTGCACAGTGTTTTCTGCTGCTGCCCGCAGATAATTCTCCACGTACGGTTGAGTTGAGCTGGACTGAGCTCTGAACCATTTGATGCTATAAATAATTCAGTTGACACATGATTTCAGGCCAAGAATGGCAGTCTGTCCACAGGCAGGGGGAGGGAGGCAAGGTGTGGAAAAAGTAAAGCCAACCCACCCCCCCGTCACTGAACAACATCTCGGAGGTCGTTTCTGAGTTTCTGACACAGGGAGAAGAACTGCAACAGCTGGAGTGAAGAAATAACAGCATTAATGATGCATCTTTTTCTCCTCTACTTTCAATCCTGTTCTAATTTCTGAACCAGCTGAACTATCTAAATCACCCATCTCAAACACAAGGCCTGAGGGTCAGAATCGACTCGGCAGACTCCAATCCAGCCGACCAGACGTCTGTGAGAAATGCAAAGTGAGCAAGTGAACAGATTTTTATTTCAAGATTAACAGCTTTTCCTATTGATACCCCCATCCCTTCTTTACATACTACACCAAAGTAATTAAGTAGTGGATAAACAATTAAATGACTATCTGCTATAGAAATGTCAGTTTTTAGACAGCGAGTCCAAAAGAAAAAAAAAATGGATATTTTCTATAAATTGTACTTTGACCTTATCTCCAGTTTTACGCATTTATCATGCAAATATGTTATTATCTAGTGTCACTGTTCCAGCTTGCTTAACATTAAAGTGGGCTGCATGTGGTCCACAATGTAAAATTCGACATCCCTGATCCAAACGCAGTCTCAGAAATAGTTTGTGATCTGAGATTTTCCATATTTCTGCACACATGTGAACCTAATACATAACCTCAGTAAACACATCACTTTGAGAAGGAGATAAACAGAATCTAAGTTGGTCACTTAAGTTAAAAGGTTAGATTTGGTCATTTACATATTGAGAATAATCATCTAATATTAAATGTATGTGACCTCTAGGATTAATCTGAATGGGATATTTGGGTGTTTTCTATCGATGGGATGACGAGGATTACAAATCAACCATGACTGAGATTTGAGTCGGGTGTGTTTTTATTTAAAGAGCGCTCGTTATGACACGTTTGAGGACACAAATCAAGAATAAAGGAAATTTCTGAAGACCTCAGAAAGCAGTTGTTAATACGCGTGATGGTGGAAAAGATTACAGAACCATCTCTAAAGAGTTACGGCACACAACAAAATTGTTGATCTTCTTTTAAGAACAGTAGGGCAATAAATAAGTGTAAAAGTAAGGTGTGAGACAGGGAACAGCTTTTCTAACATTTGCTAATGTTAATCCTCCTGAATCCACTATGGAGGGATTCAGCATGAGAACTCGATCCCAACTGTAAACACTGTGGGGATGGGAACATTATGGATTGGGCCTGTTTAGCCGCATCTGGGCCAGGACAGCTCATCATCATTGATGGAGCAATCGATTCTGAAAATTATCAGCAGATTCTAAGGAGAAACGTCAGGACGTGCGACACGCACGCTGATAGGATCTTGGGATGACGAAGCCAAAGTCCTGACTCAGGCCAACAGAAATGCTGAGGGATCCGAGGCACGTAGCTCATCCAACAGTTTAATGCATTCTGCATGGAAGAATAAATTCCTTCAAGATGGTGTGCAGGACAGATGGACGGTAATCATCTGCTGGTGTAACAAATGCTTCTCATCTATCTCTCAGGACATCTGTGGAATATGATATTTTAGCACATATTAAAAAAAGTTGTTGGCGGTTATTGGTTTCTCTGATAATTGGGTACTCCCCCCCCCCCTATGCAGATCATCACTGAACATTCATTCACTGCAATATCATAAACCGCCTCCAATCACTTACCCCTCGATCTCCATTGTACTTCTCCACAAACTTGCCATAGTTGTAGTAGTTGAATGTTGGGTAGCCCTCCACCCCTTCCTGCTTGCAAAGCTCGTGGTTCTGTCCTTTAGTGCAGTCCACAGCTGCGTACACGATCTGAAACAGGCAATTGCGCATTCACTTTCAGTGTGCATAATAAAACATGCTTTAAATTCACAAGATTTTAAAGGCGCTTGGCACCCTGCCGTATCAGATGAGGCGCTTGGGACTGTGCCTTAATTAGATGAGTGTGTAAATAATCTTGAAAATATTATTTTTTTGTCGTAAAAAGTTTTCTCCAACTAACAGACCCATTTCACAGCACCCATTCTGACATAAAATAGCAAGGAAACACAGACGTGACCAATCACATTAACTGAGGCTCCGTGCTTATATACAACGGAGGCTTCATTAATTTGATTTGTAACACCTGATTTTTCTTTCTATTTTCTGTCAAACGGCTGCTGTGTACGGTAATAAGCTTGTTAAAAAAAAACTTCCTACCGAGACATAATTAGTACATAAGAATACATAAACTTCTCAGAAAATCTCCTTTTGAGCTACATTCGAGGAAACTTTACTGTAATATGAATTTCAAAAACTGCAGTCATTATCTTTAATAGTTAATAGGTTTAACGCAGACATTCATTAAACAGACAAGGTAGTTTGTGTTACTTCTATTATTCCTGGTGCATTCTTCCCATTTATTGTTATTTTATTATCACTATGACAATTATTTGAATTTGCACGATGTATTTCCATTTTATGGCCAGTTAGCTTTTGTTTCAGTGGATCTTAAGAACTCTGTATATTTTCAGATGAAACAAACTTTATCACAAGTCTGTACATTGCTACTATTAAAAAAGTATATAGGTGAAGAATATTACAGGAATGCAAATGAGGACACAGCTACAGCACTACTATGCCAACTCTCATTTCTTTGTATTTGCTAGGAAATAAGGAAACAGGTGAAGCAATTTATTGAGACGTGTGTAAACATAAACAGATTGAAGAAAAACTGATTCTGTACAGTTCTAATGAGCTTGACGGTCAGTATTTGATATGCTCCCCTTTATTCTTCAACACAGCCTGTTGGACCCACTTCCTGACCTGCATATTGATAATAATTTGAATCAATAATTTCAAATTTGATTTATCACTCCATAAGATGTGTTACTTCTGATTTTCAGTCCAGTTCTCGTGTAATTTGCCACGCCTCAACCTTTTCTCCCCATTTCCCTTTCTTATAAATGGCTTCTTGAGAGCTAAACTTCCACTGAGACCATTTCTGATGAGGGTTCAAGTGAGCAGTGGATGCATCTCTCAAGTCCCGTGTCAGGTCTTTGCTGGATTTCCCCCCCTGCCAGCCATCCAGCTATCCACACATCTTACTCAGGGGTGTGGGTGAGCTGGAACCTACCCCAGCTGTCAAAGGGCGACAGATCACCCATCTATCATAGGGCTAACAGAAAGAAATACCAATATGTCTTTGGACTGGGAGGAAAGTTTACCTGGAGAAAACCCATACCAGCATGGGGAGAACATGTAAACTTCACACAGAAAGGCCCCAGCCAACCACTTCACTTTACGACGGCTTTGTCAGTTTTCTTAAGGACATACTGCACAACATGCTGAAATACACCAGATTTTTACCTGATAGCCTTTTGAGATTCCCCTTGTTGAAAATACTATTTTATGTCTATCAAATTGTTATCTTTGGCATTCTTCTTAGTTTCAGCTAATGAAATAGAAACAAAATTACCACAGGCTGATAGTAACAGAGTGCCAAAAGATACAATGTATGTAAAACATTGTATACAGTGTAATGTAGACAAACACTGGTTAGGTTCATTTTTGTGTTTCATTGATTCATAGGTCAGATTTAAGTGACTTATAGAACTAAAAACAATCCTCTGAAAATGGTCAAGTTCAAGAACTCGTCTGAAAATAAGTGAAAAAGCAGCCAATGTCTAAATAAAAACTTTGAAAGACCTACTGCTCAAGACTACTTTAAAAATATCAAGACGGTCTGGCTGCTTGGAAGCAAAATACAAAGAAATGAGGGACGGATTAAGACTTTTACACAACATTATATTTTGAGGTGCTTGGGACATACACAAGACTCAACACGGTCCCCATTTCTTAAATTATGACCACTAAATGATGGTTTCAAGCTATAACTACAGATAAGTTTGGCAAAGGCATGGCATAATGTAAAATATGTAATAAAGAGTGTGAAGGAATTTAATAAGTGGGCCCCCAAAGAGTCATTATCTGACTCAGTGTGAAAATGCTTAGCATTAGCATGCTAAGCTAATTAGCATGACAATAGTTCAGCTCATCCTTGAGTTGACATTGACAAGATCATCATATTCACAAGAAGGGAAGAGAAAACATAATGCCTTAGGCTACAGCTGTCACCGGCATGGAGGCATAAAAGTGACTTACGCATTGGTCCGTTTATGTGGGTGGTACAAAAAAAAAAAAAAGCCCCCCAACAACAATCAGCAAGCATAAAAACAACAAGCGAGATTTATGTTGCGTGGCTGTTGCATCGATTAGTGACAAGCTGTCCCAATGAGGCGTAAATGCTGCCTCACTGATACATGGCTCACTTAGCATGTCCTTTTGGACAGCAGAAATGTCACCCTCTCTCAGGGTGCCGAGTGCTCCACATTGAACTTGTCACCATCAAATAATCGCTCGCTGTCTATCTGTCTGCCCGAGCCAAACGTGGAAATGACAGACATGCTGCGGAAGGAGAAATATTTGACACTTACGCCGCACCGCAAACGACTCGAAAACTTTCTTGTCCTAATTACAAGACACATGCACCTTGTTTTGTATGCAAATATAAATACTCAAGTGACAGAAAATCTGCATAATTGCCAACAAATCGCTAAAATGGGTACAATGCAGCAGAACGTCGACTTCATCTGCATCAACAGAATAGACACGGGCAAACAAAAAAGCGAAGATAGGGAGCAAATGGAGCGCATATGAGAGAAGAGAGCCTATAAAGGGATATTTTTCTCTGGTCTGTTAATCAAGTGTATTAAGCTGTTCTTCACTGTGCTCCCACAACAAGAGTATTTCATGGACTTGCAAGCTGTGCATATTCAGCAAGAGTGAGGTGCATCACCTTTGGAAAGGCACACTAGTCAACAGAAATTAAAGTGAAAACACCAACAATTACCCTCTTCTTTGTATACCTGGGCAATTTACCACAAGATCTTGAGCACTACGTGTTTTTCTTTTTTTTCATTGTGAAATCTTTAACCACCTTTAAGTTAGGGCAATTTGAGATACATAGAGAGTGCTTTAAGCAGCAGCAGCATTAGAGATGGCACTGTAGCTGCAATGAGGGGTATAATGTAACTACAGGCTCCCTCCAAATGCTCATCCCTGTGCAATCAATCAGAGTTGCCGTGAATTGACAGGCGAAAATGAAGTCGTAGAGCTGTTGTTCTTCAAAAGGTCCTCAGCCAATTCAGTTATTGATTCATCTTCAAGTGACAGAGGACCCCACATCATATTATTGACTGGATAGTGAAATTTTAGGGGGCAGCATATTACCATTTGGCCTAGTATCTCTACCAGCGTCAAACCGAGGAACAAAGAGGTACAGCTACACTCAGAGCTACCTCTGTTCTAACAACAAAGTACCTGTGCTTGTAATATCTAACATGGATCTGCATACGCTGGACTGAAACCACCTCAAGGAATACATTAGCTCATATTAAAGAGTGACATAGCACTGAAGGGGTTACTGTAACACACCACGTCTTTGATTTATTGTAGCTGCAACACAAGCATCAACTGAGTAATGGGGACTGGCAATAGCACTTTTATTTACATTGTACATTTTATTACACGTAAACTCAGTATGATTAATATAAAAACATAAACACCTATAAAAGGTCTTCTCTGCCTTATGGTAATAAAAAACAAATTTTACAAAGAACTACTATACAAGTTACTACAGCTGTGCACACACTGGAGGTGATTTGCAGTGACGTGGCAGCTACAGACCACAGACAGTGAATGAAGGGACTACCAATGAGAGTGAAGAATATTGTTCATTGACATATGAACGTTCAAAATACATGAAAAGCTGAAAGGTGTGTTGGGTTAACTAAATATTGTGGAAAGTACAAATCACAGTGATTCAGTGGTCATTAAAATGTGCTTGGAATTTGCAAACCATCACATAAATCCTGACACATTGCTCTCCCCTACATAAGCTGCCTTAATTGGTTAAAGGTATCTCTATGGAAGCCAATTTCGACTTATTAACTCGAAATTTCAAGTTAACGCTGCCAATCTGTAATCTACGGGAATGACGTCATTTCCTTGTTACCCGGAAGCTGAAGCCCTCAGCTACAAATGCTACAGCTAAGCTACCAGTATTACATCCAGTCATGAATGCACAAATTGCTGATCATTTTCAGCGTGACTTCACAAATGATGAAATCCTTGTGTTATTAGCTAAATCAATCACATATCAGCAAATGTACTCTCGAAAGCACCAATTTCTTGCGATCTGGTTTTGAGTGTGCATTCTCCTGCGCCATATCCTTCCGGGTAATAAGAAATTTCGAGTTATTGATACTTTTTTTTAGTGATGGAAACAGGCTTTCATAGGTATCAGTATCAGCAATTCTCCTGTATTTACTTCTGACTGGGTTATAGACTAATAATAAGCAGGAAACTAGTGAATTAACATAGCAAGAGAACAAGGCATTGAACTTAACAAAGTGTTCAAAAGATGAAACAAATTTCCTGCAGATAAATACAGAAAAACACAAAAGCCAAACTCATTCCCCGTTGTTGCTCGAGCATTGCATCACATCTCCACACATTACCACCACCTGTTGGTGACTGAAAGAGGTTGACATCATTGGTAGTTTGTGTAGATTGGAGCATATACAGCTCCTCATTGATGTGCGCAGAACCCCTAACAGGGAGCCATGCATACAAAAATAACTGCAAAGCGCCAGCAGAGGTCAAAAGCTCCACGGGGAAATCTTGATTTCTGCAGCGCTGTGGTCAAGACGAACCAGTGTGCTTCTCTATGATTTTACCAGTACAGTAGCAGCCACAGGGTAGGTTATATT